ATTCGCCAACAAACTTGACTCGAAATACCAGGAGGTCACAATTTGAATTTTGTCGGATGTCCGAGTCGCCGTCTTTGAACGAATTCTGGAATGGGCCGCACTGGATGACAGATGCTCTTGAGTTGTCCTACGGCGGCTATTTTGAATGATCGATTGGTTTAAAATTCTTGGTTCCTCGGAGGTTCGAGTATCCAGGAAGTACTATGGGCATCATCAGCGACGCACTTTTGTTCTCCGTCTCGCGCCGCCCTTTGCACAATCATCGTTGGACCGTCGACTCATTTCCATAAGTAATGTAAATCACTACACTAATGGTAAGAATAATCCCTGCCAAAAAAAAAATACGCGTCTTCGAATGGAGTGATTGATTTTCTCGTTGAGATACTTTTGGCCCTTTTTATTTAGAACCTCCGTTAGCTTTATAGCGCATGCACAGCTCAACACGTTATGGAACGGCACTGACACTGTTCACCATGGCACGCACGGCTCAGACATGGTAGCGCACGGCCGCATACCTTTTACGCTCAAGGGGGACTCGACTAGACTTGAGTGATTACAGTGACTCCAGACTCGGTGACTGGCAGAGGATGAAATTATATATGTATTCTGTGTGCCTGCTTACCACCTTATGGTTATGGTGAACTCTCAATCGCGTTTTCTTGATACCTACCATGAATGTGCCATTACTCATTAGTGTTGACGTCCATCATGTACGTTAATTTAGCGCGCCACGCAAACTTGCCAGAAATTATTGGAGGCCCGAAACCCGTCGTCGAACTTGCGCGCCACAGATATTTTTGGTATCCTGAGCGCCTCATCCCAAGGAGCGCAACATGTGGCGCATTTGATGGTGCCAGAGGGAATGTGTATTTAAAACTGTGTCGGGGTCATTGGACGTGGTCAAGTTTCTGTGGATTTACCTTATTGAACGAAGGAAACACGGGTGAGGAGCCCAGGTCCAGAGAGTACAAGTGGAGGACTAAAGAATATACCAGCCACTCCTGCCTTAGTAATTCTGCACCTACCCCTGCCACAGACTTTCAAGCACAGAAACACCTGCCAAATATGACTCAAATCCGCCGAGAGGAATTCACAAATCGCTACACTAAACTGTAAATGTATGGATATACTGTCACCAACATATAGCCACCATTCAAGCAACATACTTCGCCAGCCACCTCCAGTGGGCATGGAATGCACGGCTCAAGCACGGTACTGGTTACAGGAATGCTGCCAGACGCACGGTAGACGCACGGCTCCTGCACGGCTGTGCCACGGCTTTTTCTGTTTGCCCATTTGAGGATAATCTCCGATTATCCTCATTGCGGTGCGGTCGATGTAATGGGTAAAAAACCGGAGGAGCATCCAAACCTTAGCTCGAAGCATGTCGGTCTCTGAACTCTCATGAATGCCTTACACAAGAAATTGCGTACACGTAGACCCTCACATGTTTGCTGGACGGCGACGATGGTACGTCCGCTCAACGTTCTGCGCTTGGCGTTGAAGCTGACTGCATGGCAAGGGTCGAGCGACGCGTGAGCCAGCACGCCGAGACTTCGAAGATTGTTTCACTCCACGACATGAGTGGGGCGCTAGGCTCGGGAGTGGGGGAAAGGGAGGAGGGGACGGAATTCCACTCCGCGGCCGGTCTGGCCATGGGGAGCTAACCACTGGAAGGGGCTTGAGAGTGGGAGGGGGAGGCAGTCGAGGGGGGGACGGAACGGAGTCACGGAAGCCCTGCACACAATAGCCGGCGGGGAGTGGAAATGAATGCCGGTGATGACGTCGAGGACCACAGTGGCTGTTTGTGGACCAGGTCCAGAGCAGCCTGGGGTCACCTGTCCATGTACTCCGTCCGCTGCCCTCGCCATGGCGTCGTCCCAGCGCGCAAGGCGTCACCGTCCGGCGTCCACGAGTCTCTCAGTCTATCAAGTCCAGCCCAAGTCGCGACTATGGTGTGATCACCACTGCCGATGTTCTGGCGACGGCAGAGGTACCACAGATGATTACTACGACCGTGTAAACAGTACAGTGCTTGGAAAACTGCACAAGTATTTATAGACCTTGCCTGATCGTGTGCACCGTTGGGAGATGTTGCACTTACGTAACCAACACGGATCGTACTGGATATCCACCATGACCGCAGATGTGGTCCGTGGACCATGCCGGCACAAGTACTTTAAATGAACTCGTCCTCCCCCTCCTCCTCCACCACGTCCTTTGACTCTAGTCTCTAGAATCCCGAATTATGCCATCGAAACGTCTCAGCGGATAAACTAATAATCAGTCAACGTCGGCCCCTCGCGCCGCAACACCTCGTCTCGCGTCATCTAAAGCCGAAAGTGCGTGCGCCATCCTCGATTGAAATTGATAGATGTGCGGCCTATAAGGCTTACGCAGGACCCTTTTCGTATCTTTTCCAGTGCACATCTCCTTCTCCTCTGACAAGTGCCCAGCATGTACGTCAAAACGGTGCTGCTGACAGCCGTCAGCGCCGCTGTCGTGGTATCAGCCTCCTCGTTCCAAGTACCACTGTCCGCGTCTTTCGGCGATGAGCCGATCGATGATACCGATACCTACACCTTCAAGTGGCCTATCAATAGAGTCGCTATTATCGGTGCTGGTCCTAGGTGCGTGCCCACAATATACACTTTGTTGACCGTCGTAGCCCCCTCTCATACCACGTCTATCTCCCCAGCGGTCTCCTAAACTTCCGCGAATTCACCAAAGCAGGATTCGACGTGCACCTCTTCGAGCGCGACCACAACCCCGGCGGCAACTGGCAATACACCGACGCAGTCCCGGACGTCGCCCCCGTCCCCAACGCCGACATCTCCGTCGGCGACTTCGTTCCCTCGCTCCCCCCGAAGGGCGCGCGCCTCCCGTATGAGGAGGTGTATACGGGAAGGACGTCGGACGAGCTGTTGAGGCGCCATAGAGGCCCCAAGCCGATTTGGAGGACGTTGCATTCGAATGCGCCTGCGGTGCGTAATGAGTGTTGCGTAACCGGAAGGTGCTGACTGTGATTGGGATTTGTGATTACAGCCTATTCAACAGGTACATACACACACATGCCCACATACCACCGTTTCGTCGTTCTGATTCCACCTCATCGCGTCGTCCTTGTAGTTCACAGAACTCCCCTACCCCAAAGGCACACCCTGGGAGCTCCCGCACTGGACCCTCGGCCGCCACGTCCGCTCCTTCGCATCATTCCACGGTCTCAACTCCAACGACAACAACCCCCGCATCACGTACAACACCCGCGTCGAGCTCGTCTCCAAGCGCTACGACGCCCATGGTGCGGAGGCCGGGTGGACGCTCACGCTTAAGACCGTACGCCAGACCGGACCGCACTCGTCCAAGGCGACATGGAGGACTGAGGTTCGTGCTCGTGCCATTTTTTCTCTCTCGCTCGAATTACTTATGATCGTGTGTGTGAATACATAGGACTTTGACGCAATAGTAGTAGCAACAGGCCGCTACAACGCCCCCAACATCCCCAACATCCCCGGGCTCGCACAATGGGCTGCGCGTTTCCCGGATCAGGTGAAGCATTCGCGGGTGTACCGCCGCCCCGAGCCCTACACGGGCAAGACGGTGCTTATCGTCGGAGCGTCGACGAGCGGAGCTGAGATCTCACGCGATTTGAACCCCCATGTCGGGAAGACGTATCAGAGTGTTAGGCCGGATAATTGTGAGTCCCGTTCTCCCTCCTCCCACACCCACTCCCACACCCACTACTTCCCAAATGACTACCACGAAAACTAATACTAACTACTACCCAACGAAATAGCCACCCGCCCCCACTTCGTCCAAAACCTCGCCCGCAGGCGTATCCCCGCAAACGTGACGATCATACCCGAGATCAAGCGTTTCCTCCCCCCCGCAACGACTATCCAGGCCAGCCAGGTCGAGCTCAACAACGGCACCGTACGTCGTCGCATTGCGCTGCCACTTTTTTTTTTTCCTTTCAAATCTGACTACGTGTTGTTCATTACTGTTACGATTAGATTATCACGGGCCTCGACACCCTCCTCTTCTCCACCGGCTTCCGCTACACCTTCCCCTTCCTCCCCCAATTCATCAACTCCTCTGCCAAGGGCGACCGCGACGCCGACAGCGCGCACCCCCGGCCTATCGTCACCGACGGAACGCACCTCAGGGGCTTGTACTTGGATGTGTTTTATATCGAGGAGCCGACTATCGGGTTCGTTAATAGTACGTGTCGTTGTTTCCTTCTCCCTGCTCCCTTTTCCCCTTCCCCTTCCCCTCATCCCCCTTTGGTCCCGTTCATGTCCGCTCACCCGACCCACAGTGAACATCGGCGGCCTCCAATCATTCACCTACGGCGAATACGTCGGCGTCGCCCTCTCCAAAGTCTGGTCCGGCATCGCCCACCTTCCCTCCTCCCAGGAGCTCTGGCGCCGCCAGGCAGAGCGCGTCGACGCCCTCGGCGGGTACGGCAAGCATTTCCAGTTCCTCAATACGCAGAGGGCGGCGGAGTTCATTGCGTTTTATGTCGGGTGGCTTAATGGCGCGGCGGCGAAGTATGGCGGGAGGCAACTGGATACTTTGAATGCTGAGTGCGTATTTTTTTCTTCTTTTTTTCGTTTCCCGCCCCTTGGCACACTTGTGTTATATGTATGCTTACTGGCGACGCGCAGTAACGACCAAATCAGCACCACATGGAGCAAAGCGCGTTTCGGGAGCGATATCTTCCTCGGGTCACCTCCCGCGGATAACTTTACATCATCGGCGTTTGGAGGCGACTTTGACGAGCGGCTTGGACGTCGGAACGTGGCGGATGCAGTGAGCGAGGCCGTTGATTGGTATAACGATGATTGGTAGACTGTAGATGCTATTCTCCTTTGAATGTATTTAGATTTTCCGGGCTGGCGCACATATGTTGGACAGTAAGTTGCTGCAATTTTTCACTGTGGATTCGGGGATGTTCAGTCCATACTAGTCCCTGGGCGCACCTCATCCGAACTTTGCAAGCATTAATGGGGTAGTGGTAACCTGGGTCGTTGCCATAGGTTGTGCCACGTGACTCGACCCGCCGGGAGTTCGATTCTCTCTTAATGCATCAAAAAAAAATTCAAGAGAGTCGTAACATTGTATTTTGTTCTTCTGACGTCCTGTTGGTCCTGGGAACTTGAATGCACCTGTGGAAGGTGCACGGATTTTCAAGCATTAATGGGGTAGTGGTAACCTGGGTCGTTGCCATATAGGGCTTTACACAAGAAAACATTGATTCGACCCGCCGGGAGTTCGATTCTCTCTTAATGCACTAGGAATCGAAATGAAGTGGAATTTTTTGGTCCTTCCTCTGGAGCCACATGTGAGTGGAAGATTACAGTAACTTACTACATAGTGTATTTGGTCTGCCAACTTTCGTGCAGCATATGACACCACTGATACCTCTGACTGCCATAGGTGGTTTTGCCTCCAGGCCGTTTAATGTATGCGCCACACAGCAGAAGTTGTATCCAGGCCAAAAAGAGCTTTGTTTCTCCTGCTCTGCCTATCTGCAACTCCAATACCTCATTGAAGAATGCCATGCCAGCATGATGTACGTTCATTTGCCGTCGAGGTTAATTTTTATTTGTTTGAGTATACGCTCGAATGGCAACCCACACAACATGGTGCAACCCCCGCACATTGATCAGATTGATCGATATTGATCTTCTATGTACAACACGATCATCAAATTGTCCACTTCCACCACCCCAACAGTCGACTCAAATAGCACCACCACCATACGTAAGCGCTTGGCCCCAGTCAGTCCACCCTCAACACCAGATAGAAGCCTATCACAAAACCGAGGAGCAAGGCCACGAACCCACATGACACAGAGGTGCAGGCGCTCAACGCATCCGGTAAGACAAGGTATTGTCACGGAGTTGAGGGGGGTCGTCGTCACCAGCAGCGAACCAAGCTCACAACTTCGGAATCCGCATCACCCATGAACTTCATCAATGGAAGCCCTGCCTCTAGTGGTTGAAGATCAGGCACACAATGACGCATCCCTTGAGCACCTGTGAATCAAGTAGATGTCGCGGAGACGAAGAGTGTCTTGTGGAGTAAGGATTGGGATGAGGATCGAATCCAAACGGGCCATAGTGAAAAGATGGCAAATGAGGACAAAAATCTCAAGCCTTTGAGGTCGAGCGCTTTTGGGGATGGCATCAAGGTACCCAACAATACACAAAGGTGATCGCCTCCGATTTAGTGCGTACATTTGAAAACACCTGAGCCGGGGGCATTGCAGCAGATTCAAGTAGACATTCCGTCTCGCGACTGCACGAGCCATCTATCAAAAAGGGCACGAGCCATATATCGTTGAGCCGGTTTGCAGATAGGTGTGATGTGGCGCACGGACCAGAAACACGATCACGTGGTCAGTTTGTTTAGGAGAACTTCCATTTATCTGACATCCGAGGGCGCTGTGAGACGGCATATACGCGCGTCAGAAGTACGACGTTGCTCGGAGAGATGTTTGTCACGTAATACAAACTACACCCTCGCGGGAGGAGATCACGATCAGTTCTCAGATCAAAACTCACCGTGCGGACTCGGATCGACATATCGTTTGCTCGGTATTACAAAGCCGGTCTCATATCTGATTGTCACTGCTCTCGAGATCCAAGCCCAGGCCCGTGTCATCTACGCAATTAGGAGGCGTCCAGCGACCCAGCGAGAAAATCGTGCCCAGGGAATACCTAGGTTGACTGTACGCCGACAAGATCAGTCCGTGCTCATGTATATTGACGTGACAGTGCTGAGACTCACTGAGCGAGGGGACATATATTGCTCTTGGTAACAAATACGCTGACTATCCATCAAGTGTTTAAACTCCAAACACGAGAACGAGGGCCTGCAAATTTGCCGAAAACGAGCGCACATTGCGCACATACCAAGGTTAGTATATGCGCGGGGCGCCCATACCATACTCCGCGGCATCGTAACCTTATACTACTATCTCCTCGACGAAACTGTCCATAGAAAGAAAAATGATACCAGACTTTGGAATTCGAAGACGAGTTTTCAAGGAACTCAACACCTTACTCATCGGCTTTCGAGTTACAATGCTCGATCTCGCGATCCTCTCTCTGAATGGACAACGCGGCAGACATCGTGGTCGTTGTCAAGAACGAGGCAGCCCAGGACGCCTCGGTGTCACTGTCGATGGTGGCAATGGTGGAAAGGAATCGGCCTGTCCCGCCCTCACTCTTCTCCCTCCTCCGAATCTCACCTGGACACTCGAACTGCGTTGACTTGGGCGTATCGAGAGCAGCATCGAGAGCTCTTGATCAGGAGATCGCAGCGTAGACCTAGTTGAGGAGACTGGCTTATGCTAGTAGCAAGGAGGCCGCTCAACTCAGGTTAGTAGTTCACAGTGATATGTATATATATATACAAATGGTGTGAATATCGTAAGTAAATCGTAACGACTTCGTACTAGAACAATAATCCCGCATGCGTTGAATGCAATAAGGAATAACCTGGCGTTCACGGGCGCTCGACACGCGCCGTAGGGTCTTTACTTCGTCCTCCCCCGTGAGCTGCCACCGCACACCGATCGCCGGGTCATCGTATGAGTAGATAGTGCCGTCCCGTATGCCTTTCTCTTCTTGATTGGACCGTCGCTCGAGCGGACCTTGCTACCTCCGGCATCGGATGCCATGGCGCTGGAGCTCCGCTTGCTGGAGGTGGGTAAGGAAGAGTTGTGCAAGCGCCTACTGGTGCTCATAGCAGTCTGGTCTCGCAGTTGTGGCAGGCAATCAAAAGGTACATCTTCGACGGGCCAACCAGACAAATCCAAAGTTTCTTGGAATAGGTTGGCCAGGTAATCATGGTTCCTGAGAAGAATATCGTCGGGAGGGTTCGAAGTATCCTTGGACATGGGCGCAAGTGGAGGATCGGATTCTACCTCCGCGAGCATGTCAGGTTCTGGGTCGGCGAACTCGAGCCACTGCTTGAAGGCCAGTAGTACGAGGGCAAGCCATCGTTGCAAGGGTCGGGTGGTGAACCGGAAGTCTCGGCCCAATGTGGCCTTTGTTGAGAAACATGCTCCGCTTGGTTTCGCCTCCAGCGACCACACCATTTGCGTTCATAGTAGAATACCGGAAAATGTCATCGGTGATTTGAAGGGTATCAACGGGTTTGTTGTGGGGGAAGTAGCGGAGGCAAAAGTACAGCAAGACGTGCACGAAGGACTCCATATCGTCCTGAATGGTATGCACTTTGAAGGTACCCTTCTTACGATTTGCGAGGACAAGAGACGACATGAATTCCCAGGTTCCCTATTTCCAGTTTCAACACCATTGTGCCTCAATCGCAGTTTAACATGTGACTTACCGTTCTTTCGTGGCGACGACGGCGGTCGAGCTCCGACTTCTTTTTGGCTAGGTCCCAGTCGTTGAGAATGCCACGGCCGTTGGCATCAATCAGGATATTTTTTGAACTGATGTCGCGATGAATGTAATCGCATAGCTCCCATGCCTGTCGGTGGGCTAACACAAAGTGCATGTCAGTCTCTTGAAATGACCAAATGGACGAGACGGGCGTACCAAGATAAGCATCTGCACAGACCTGGACCAATTGCTTCGATGATGTAACCTCGTCGAGATGTTTCCCAAC